GATGATACTGAATCAACTGATGATACTGATATCAACAAACTAGCAAGAACTACCAACCAAGTACACACACACACACTCTCTCCCTTCTATTATTCTCAGTCATGATTTCATCCTTCCATATCATTATATATATGTATACATGTACATATAAACTTTATTTATTCATTTATTCCAATGCAGGCCTTATTCTCAGTCACATTCCCTCACCCTGAGGTGTTCATTGTTGCTAGGATTGAGAAGGTTCTTCAAGGAGGAATATCAACATGTACCGAACCTTACATGAAACCAACTGATAGTCTAAAGGTACAGCCAGTACATATATATACCTATAGTGTGCATGTACATGTACATGTATATACATTGTACACATATGATGCTTCTTATCTGTTTCTCTGTTAGATGGTTGACAAGTTCTCGAAACAGGTTACGAGTGTGAGGGAGAGACTGGGACAGTACAGGATGCCTTTTGCTTGGGCAGCAAAGTATGGTACATGTACATGTATTACTATTAATGGTCATCAGTTAATGTTCATCTTATCATGTATACATGTATCTACCTAACTACATGTACATATTAATGTTCACACACTCACAGGATAATTAAATCATTAATAATATTTTAATTTTATGTAGGCCATTGTTTCTATCAGAGGATGAGGTGAATGTCCATTGCACTGACTTGGGACCAATTTATAGACAAGAGAGGGAGAAGCTGACTGATACTGAACTGATTAAAATACTGTCAGACTTTAAGAAGTGAGAGATAATACACAATTACATCTATTAGTTATTATTTATTTATTTTATTTATTATTATTATTAGTATTGGTAGACATAAACTTCAGACTATACCAGGTAGCCTCAATGTATCAATAATAGGATCAGCAACACCTGGAGGTAGTCATTATTTTAAATTATGTTTATTATATTAATTATTATTAGTAATATTCACTCCTTCCTATCTTCCTGTTAAAAGCACTGTACCAAGACAACTGACACCAGATACACAAGTTAGCACATGTACATGTACTTTTATTACAAGCACTGTGACAATAATTTATAATAGCCTCAACTGAAATACATGTACACGTATTTGTGTACATGTACATGTACATGTACATATACATGTACATGTACATGTATCTCTTGTAATTTTATCCTCTCTCTCTCTTTCCCCCTCAGTCCAGTCTTGAAGTGAGGGAGTTCCTCTCTTTGGATTCATGCGACTCATTCTCTCATTGTTCCCCTCACATCTCACACATCAACCACTTCTATGTCTACCCAGTCTCTCTTAAATATGACACCCAGAAGAGCTTCCCAAAAGTAAATATACATGTACATGTGCATCATACACACGTGATTTTATAGTGAAATAATGTACATGTATGTAGTACATGTATTACTGAAATGTTGGAGATTATTAAGGTAATGTTCTTATTGTATTCTTAGGCTCGTAATATAGCAGTGACTATTGAAGTGAGGGATAATGACACTGATCGATACACAAGACCACTAAAAGTAATAATAAATATTATTATTATTATTATTATTATTATTATTATTATTATTATTATTATTATTATTATTATTATTTATTTATTTATTTATTATTTATCATTATTATTATTATTGTTAGGTGATATACAGTAAATTATCCAGTGATGAGTTGTTAGTAGACAGTGTCACTACTCCAGTTCTGTATCACTGCACCTACCCAACCTTTTATGATGAGGTACAGTACATGTACATATTAACAATAAAACCTCCATTTAACAGACAGCACCTAGTGTACCAATTACATTCCTTACTGTATAAAATAACCTCCACATAAAGGACACCTCTGTA